TACATTGATTACAAGTCCTTGACAGAGTAAATCCATTAAATTCACAAGACTGTGTTGAATCACTTAAAGAAATCCCGTGGACTTCTCTGAGTCTCCTTTCCTCGGGATTGGCAGTTTGCTTTAGGCTACAGTGATCAGGATTTAGTCTATTGTTATTGCTGTTGTTGTCTTCTTTGGGCAGGCAGCTAATATTTATTTGAAACATTTGTACTTATTGACCCCAAGAATTTGATAGGGTTTTCTTCCTGAAACCAGTTTTAATTTTGGCTGCGCATCTCTATTGGTCATAAATGGAGACCAAGTGGAGTGGATGGCCAGTTTTAATTTCCTGGGTGCCACTGTTGAGGAGGATCTGACCTGGGGGATCCATATGGCAACGTTGGTTAAGAGGGCCCAGCAGAGACTGTACTATCTGAGACTCCTAAGGAATCACCAAAGGAATGAAAGACTACTACTGTGCTATAGAGAGTGTCCTAACCTACTGCATCTGTGCATGATTTGGTAACTGCAAACTGGCGGATAAGGCTATCCAAAGGATCACTACTTCTGCACAGAGAATCATTGGTTGTCCTCTCCCCTCTTTGAAAGAACTTTATAATTCCCACTGTCTTAAGAAAGCTCAGAGCATTCTTGGGTTCCATCTCTCACCTGGAATATTATTTATGTGAATTATTGCCATCTGGCAGACAGTACAGGGTAACAAAGACAAGGACAAACAGACTGAAGGGTAGCTTTATCCTAGAGCTGAAGCTATGTTGTATTCGGTGGTTTGGCACAGATGTGGCATTGGGGGCTGTGTGCAGTGGGGGGGGGGCAAGGTATGTAGGGATGGGTGTGTTGTTTTGTGGTGTGTGCGAGGGAGGCATTTAATGTAATTTTCAGTAGCACAGTGACAAATAAAGCTATTATATTGCTTACCTTGGCAATAAAGTACCTCCTCTGTTATTTTGAGTTCCTCTCGCCTTATCTTTCTTCTCTGTAATTCCTTGTGCAAACTCAGTATCACTTTTATATATGTGTGTTTGTATGTATGCAGGTGTGCCAAAGAGCAGGAGGCAGCACAGTGGGTGTTTCTTGCATAAGCTAAGTTTTTGTCCATTTTTAGTGTGTATAAAATACATGTAATGTTGCAAGATCACCATCTTCACCATAAGCTTTCATATCATGTCTCTTCTTTATGGAGTTCAAAGTGGAGTAGATAGTTCCAGCTGTGTCTYACAATAGCTTTGGGTGTATCTGCACTGTGCAGTTTGACATCACTTTAACTGCCATGGCAATTGATTCAYGGGAGATGCAGTTTTGCAATGTCTTTCACCTTCTCTGTTAATTAGTGATGGTGCCTCATAAAACTACAACTCCYACAACCCCATAGTATTGAGCCATAGCARTTGAAGTGGTGACAAACTGCATTAATTCTACAATGTAGATGTACCCTTTGCAAAGTCAGGAAGAAAAAGTGTATGGGACTGGCCCAAGGACAGTTGTTGGATATTCCTRGCCTAGTGGGTGCTTGAACCTGCATCTCCCCAATCCCACTCTGTCCCATATTGCACACAGGATCTTCTTTGAGTCAAAGGGAGCCCTAATTCAGCTCTGTCCACCTTTAAGCAGTTTATGATCCCCCCCCCCCCCAATCTCACTGGACTGACAGTTCGCGTGAACACTGGATCCAATGTAAGAGTACAGGGCTGACCTGCTTTTATGCATCTGAGCCTGCACCTACATTATATAATCAATGCAGTTTGATTCCACCTTAACTTCCATGGCTCAATGCTGGGAATTGTAGTTTTATAAAGTCTTCTCTACCAGAGCACTGTATCTCACCAGACTATAATTCCTATGATTCCATAGTATTCAGCCATGGAAGTTAAAGTAGTGTGAGACTGCATCTATTCTACACTGTAGATCAGTGGTTCTCAACCTCTGGGTCCCTAGATGTTTTGGCCTACAACTCCCAGAAACCCCAGTTTACTAGCTGTTAGGATTTCTGGGAGTTGAAGGCCAAAACATCTGGGGACTCACCGGTTGAGAACCAATGGTAGTTGAATCCTGAGAATGTATTCCCTCTATTCCCAGGTTCTCTGTGATTGATCAGTTTGAATGTCTGTTATCTATTTAATCTGAGAGAAACATTTGTTTCAGAGTAACAACTTCATAATAGATTTCCTTTATTACTGTAATTCTTCTGCTATCACTTCAGTTTGCCATAGGACGTCCTTATCCATTTGTTTTCATTGGACTGAGCTGTTAGGTTTCCATGTATAAAATGTGTCAAATGTTTGCTTCTGTGCGTATCAATATTTTTCCAGGGAAAAATATAGCAGGTTTTATTCCACTTCTTAAGATAAGCTGGCTAATGCTACTTGTGTTGTTTTTGCAAAGAAGTAGCAAGAGAAAGCAAGTGATTGTGACTGCTTCAAAGTACCTGAAGGAGTCTGAAGAAGGGATCAATACTTCATACCTTGTAGTTTTCTCAGCCCTTGGTTGTCTCAGACTGATTAAAGCTGGAAAACATGATAGGGAACAAGGGAGCTACAATAGAGAGATGCTCTCTACAGCTTAGAATAGTCATACATTGCTAAGCTTTTTTATTTTTCAATCTCTTTTTAAAAATGTCATGGTTATATATACTTAGGGCGTTGAAACAGGTGTCACCACTTCTAGTGTTTGCTCACTGCGCTCAAAACAGTAAGTGAAATGTTTCCCAATTCAGAACAGTTTTATTATAATCTTGAACCAGTCCTGTATCACTTCCTTTAAAGCTTGAATATTTTTACACTTCCCTAGTATTATTCTAGACATCACATGGTTATTCTACATCCTGGAAGCTTAGCATCCTAAAAACTATTTCAGTAGCCATGCGTTGGCACAATTAGGACAATGCTGGCTGTGCCAATTATAATAGAGGGTTCCAGTATCCATTGGAAGAGTATCTTATAGTTTTGTTTATTATATTTATAGGACAGGAACTTGTAAGGTGTAGGGCAGTGGTTCTCAACCTATGGGTCCCCAGATGTTTTGGCCTTCAACTCCCAGAAGACCTAACAGCTGGTAAACTGGCTGGGATTTCTGGGAGTTGTAGGTCAAAACATCTGGGGACCCACAGGTTGAGAACCACAAGTGTAGAAATTTCAGTGCTGAACTGGCATTGGAGAGGTCACATTTTCTCAGCCTTGGAGGAAGACAGTGGCAAAGCTCCTACCAAATATATTTCATCAAGAAAATCCTTTGATAAGTTGCCATGAGTAGGAGTTGAACTGATGGCCTTCTGAGCCAATATTTATAGTCTGCCTTTTATTCAGTCAGTTCCCTCTCAAATAACTAGCTGGGAATCACTGGGAAAGTTATCTGGTCACCCAGGAAGTTTTGTGGTTTATTGGGGATTAATTGTACTTGGATCCACCCATGTTTTTGCATGGCATTCTGATGTCCACACCAGATCTCAAAATAATTAAGTTCAAAGTGTGATGGTGGAACGTGTCTTGGTATTTATCCATGGAATTACACTGCCTTTGACCAGAAAACACTGTACATAAATGGTAAGTCCATCCAAGATGATGTTCTTAATGAAAGTATATATTATAGACCCAGTTTCTGGATCAGTGGTGCCCAACCTTTGGGCCTCTAGGTGTTTTGAACTTCAGCTCTCACAGTTCCTAACAGCTGGTAAGCTGGCTGGGATTTCTGGGCGTTGAAGTCCAAAACACCTGGAGGCCCAAAGATTGGGAACCACTGTTCTAGTTTAGGAAACATTGGCATATTCTGTCAATTCCATCCTTGTGCAGAGCAATCCTCATTGTGTAAGTAGTGTTTGGTCTACACAGTGAGCAATCCCTGCTTGTGGCCTCTTGGCTTTGAACTGCCACATGAACAGAAGAGACCTTCTGTGCTAATCTAACAGCTCTTATGACTCCTTATGGCCCATCCATCCACTAGGCCTGTGATCCCCAAACTAGTTCTCCATGTGTTCTGGACTTCAACTCTCAGAAGCCCAACTGTATTGGACAATGATCTGGGATTCTGGGAGCTGGAGTCCAAAACACCTGGAAGATTCAGAGTTCAGGAAAAACTGCATTTCACCATTGTAGTGGCTTACTTGTCTATCTGTATTAATATAGGATAGGTGTAAGTTATACATAGTATACATTTAGCTAGAAATATATTCTATTGAACTTACTCTTGAGCGTATGTAGGATCATATGTTATCCATAGAGGCTCCTTCTATAGGATCATATGTTATCCATAGAGGCTTCTTCTATGGAGGCTTTTAAACAGAAGCTGGATGGCCATCTGTTGGGGGTGCTTTGAACGTGATTGTCCTGCTTCTTGGCATGGGGTTGGACTGGATGGCCCACGAGGTCTCTTCCAACTCTATGATTCTATATGACTCATGATATCAATGTTTTTCAGAGTAAGATTGAAATCACAAATTGCCATATCTGGACTAACACGCCCAGTACTATCAAGTCAGCATGGCTTTGTTTCAAGCTTGGCTAAGAATGCCAAAAAAGGGCTTTCTAAAAAGCTGTCAACAATCATTAATAATTATAACAACAGCAGCAGCACCTTACTAGAAAAATCAGATTACTCATAGTGCATGTGAAACAGTATGAAACTTTTTCATTCTTAATTTTCATTTTTCCATTTTTGACAAAAAAATTGCTTTTATGTCATCTGTCAGAAATTGTTATGTTATCTGTATAGCTTCCAGGAGAATGTCCTGGCAGGAGAATGGCCACCTTTTTAACTGCTTACAATGATGTGAACAATTCCTTATAAAATCTTTTAAAAAGAGAGGACAGCAACATACTGATCATGGCCAGTGGCAATGTGGCATTGTTGGTCGGAGGAGATACTGCGCTTTGGAGTCCAGTAAAGTTATATTTCCAGGGTTTGATATGGCTTGCCTAATGTGATACTGTAGGTTTGTGTCAGGAGTGTGATTACATCCAGGGCTCTGCTGTTCACATCTCAGATTCTGTGTTTCTGGGCTGGCTTTGATTTCTCTCTTTCTCTTTTTAAATAGGGACTGAAGAAACAAATAAGGATGGATCTGTTTCCAAAAGGCTTCTAGAAGAAAAGAACAGTCTTCTTCACTAATACAGATTAGTGCATTGGCACTACAATGGTTTGGAAATGATACTGCAGTATTTTATTGTGCTGCCGGCGAAGCAGCATTACATGGACTAAACTGGCTTCCAGGCAACAAATAACACTTAGATCCTTATCGCTGGCCAGATATAAACCAGTGTGATGTTGAAATGAGATGAGGCTCCGAAATGGAACTGTGGCCACTGCATTATTTTTCATCACATCTTTCCTGAGTTTGTCCTGGTATACAGCATGGCAGAATGGGAAAGGTAAGTGGCATCTTTCCTGAGAAGTAACACACACCTTGGGATTAGTAGAGTCAGTTGGCATTGCCTCCTCATCCCAGACATTTTGACTTATATCCGAAGTAGCAGGCTGGTGCTTTCTGATTAGAATTGGACCACTTGGTCCTCTCTTTCCAGACTTGAAAAAAATAGCAAAAAGGGAGATCATATCTATCTTCTTTTCAATATGAATAAAATGAAATAATCTTTTGTAGAAGTAACTACTCTATAAGTGGAAGATCCCAAGTTCTATTATATAAAAATATAGTGGAATCCTTCCTTCTGTTTGATTTATATTCAGGATTTTCTGTGAACCACATTAAGTAAAGATTCCAGTTTTCATCTCTGTTTCTATGATTGAAATCTGAATTTGCACAGTTGTGTGTATTGGTTCTGCACAGTAAAAAGAAAGAAAGAGAGAATCCTAATGTAATTATGCTTTTCAGCTCCTAGTATGAGCTGTAGTAATGTTTTGGAGAATGCAAGGTATCATGTTTTCCTTGTCTTTCCTTCATTTTAAATGATGGCTGCAGGGGTAATTCATATTCCTGGATATAGCTAGAATGAAGTATGTCTGTTTATTTTCTCTTTTCTCTCTCTGGTGTGCAGATGGCATGCAACTGGAATAGACACCTACACTATTTTCTAGAGAAACACTTTCTCTTTGACTGGTTGAGGAAAAAATAAAAAAACAAAACAATGTTGGATATTTCTTTTCAGCATAAAGCCTACTGGTAAATGTATTGCCAATGGCCAGAATCACTGGGTTGTTGTGAGTTTTCTAGGCTGCATGGCCATGTTCCAAGGCATTCTCTCCTGACGTTCCACAACCTCTGAGGATGCCTGCCATAGATGAGAGAATCAGGAGAGAATGCTTCTGGAACATGGCCATAAAGCCTGGAAAACTCACAACAACCCAGTGATTCTGGCCATCGGCAATACAACCTACCAGTAAAATCTAGGTGGGACCAAATCAATTGCTTGTCATTGTAAGAAATGCTAATTTATTTTAAGAATGTGGTAAGTATAAATGAATGCATCAGAACTAATAACAGCCTCTTATTTGTTTGCTCAGTTCCTTGTTCTCTGTGATGGTGTTGGTGGCTACAGTCTGTATTGGGCTGTTGTCCTCTTGTTCAAATAAATCCTCCTCGCGGACTTATCTTTATGTAAACTCTCCCTGCAGTAATTCAGCACATAACAAGCAAGCTTGTTAAAGCCCCATTGGAGTGCAGTGGCTGCGGGGCTTTTGTGTGACTGTTCAGCTGAATGATAGTTGTGCAAAATTTGTTCCTGGAACATTTTGCGTTGTCAGATACTAATGGGACAAAGCCAAATAAGAAAGCAAATAGGAAAACAGGAGAAGGATTTGACAGCAGCCTGCCATTTCTGGCATTAAAGATCTGGAGAAAAATACTAGCTTTAATGCAAAGGCAGAAACTGGTGTGATCTGTCCTTGACTATTGGCCAGCTGGCTCTGGGAGGAAGTGCTCTCATTACTTGTTGAAATGCACCAGAACTCAGAAAAGTTATTTTTGGACTTCAGTACCCAGTTAGCCCCCTGACATCATGGGTAGTAGTTTGACTGGCTAGAGGGATTTGGGGAATTGAAGTCCAAAAACTAACTTTTCTGAGCTCTGAAACAGTATATAGAAAACAAACTGTACTGGCCAGACTATAATTTCTTTAATAAAGGAATACATCATTCTGTAGGTAAGAATATAACGTATATTAGAAAGGAGTAAAAAAAGAGAGGGTCCTTTTTTGGAGGCAAAACCATTACTATTGATAAACAGATTTAGCATCTTCATTATGAATAGAACAATTTGCCTGCTATCAATAAAATGTTAGTAAAAGGATCTTTAAACAAAGTTTAAACATGCTGCTACAAAGTGTGTTTAGATAAAAATAGGAACAATGTGACTAGGAAATAACAGCAATATGAGCAAAGTGAAATGCCTTAGGAAAATACTGTTCATCTAAGATTTCTCAGACTTTTATTATACCAACCCCTGGAGGATTAAAAAAAAATCCAGTATTTAGTAACTTTAAAATTTGGACAGATTCCAAAATCAAATTTAATAGGATTCCTCTCTTGCATGCTGAACTTTTTTTAATGTCAAAGCTATTTTAACTTTGCTATGCCAATCCGTTTGAGAGGTAGGTGTGTGTGTATATGTATATGTATATATATGTGTGTGTGAGTGAGCGCGTGAAAATATATATATATATATATGTATGTGTGTGTGTGTATGTATTGGTTTGGCTTCTTTCTTTTTTTTTTAGCAGTAATCTTCATATTGTACCCTACTAGCCAGCTGTTACTCATGAGTGCTGCCTTTTCCACCTGGTATGTACAAAGAGCTTTGTGGAAGATAAGATGTGCTCTTTTCCATTCTGTGGTTGGAAGACTGTAATAAACTCTTCTGAGCAGCATAAAGGACTGCTGTTGTCTCCTACCTTTTCCAGATCATCAGCCAGAAAACATCTAGTTTCACAGTGTATTCTTGAGTTTACTGAATATTGATAGCAAGGTGTTTTTTTTGCTTTCTTCTGCATATTGAGTTATGGAGGCCTAAGTAACCTAAAGGCATGAGATCCTGTCTGATCTTGGAAACAGAGCTAGGTCAGCAAGGATAGGAGATTGCCAGCCAATAGCACATTCTGTAAGCTATATTTCAGAGGAAGGAACTTGCAAAACCACCTCTGAGAATTCCTGGCCTAAAATTGCTCTATGAAGTTCATGGGATAGTGATTAGTTGACTTGAAGGCTCATGCATATTGAGTAGGGTGAGTGAGGAGTGGGGGTGGGGCACCACTATTAGACCTGGTATCCTCCTTTCAAGTAACTCATTACATCGAAGTAAATCATTTACAATATCTTATGGGTGTTAACTTTGCCCAACATCGCACTTTGCTCAGGGCTACTTCTAAATAAAAGTCTGCTGTTTTACTTAACCCTACCTTACATCATGGTCCTGGAAAACACTGGTGAAGTGGTGGTGTGAAAAAAAACACTATGAAGACAGGAGTCAGTGCTTTGTGTCACTTTAAGTCAGTCACTCAATTCAAACAGATATTTCCTTATCAGAAAGCGACTTTTATTAAATGTACCCTCCTTAAATTGGCACCTTGTGTGATGTTTAGATTAATCTGAGAACTAGTATTTATTTTGTAGAAGCAAATTATCTGAACCAAGACTAATGTTTTTCACAGAAGTTGTCTATGTGCACTTCCCTGTGTGTGTGTGCACGCACGCTATGTGTATATGTTTGTATATCTTCAAGTTGCCTGTCAATCTTCATGTGGTGACCTCATACATTTCATAGGGTTTTCTTAGCCAAGGAATCCTCAGTGGTGGCTTTGTTCGTGCTTTCCTCTGGAAAAAGTCCTGCAACACCTGGTCTCCCATCTGGATATTAACCAGCACTGACTTAACTTCCACAATCAGATGGGATCTGGTGCTTTTAGGGTATTTGGGTTTAGATCTTCTTTCAAATAGAATGTACTATAAAGTCCTGGCAGGCAGCCTTACTTGGTCTTATTTGGCCTTTACATCCCTGCCAAAGTAACTTCTTAAATGTTTGGCTTAGGTCACAGCCTTTCAAAATGTTTCCTTTGGAGCAGATCACTTTAAATGGATGTGAGCACTCTTGACCTGTGGTGTACCGCTTGTGACTCATTATGCTATATGCATACCACCAACCATGCTTTGCAGATGTGAATATATGGATCTCATGTGTTTCTCCCCATGCATACTCCCACTTCTAGCTCAATTATGACCTCTTCTACATTGCCAAATAAAATCCAGGTTAGCTGCTTTGTACCAGATTATATGGCAGTGTAGAAGGGGACTATGACCCTAACAATGACTGCTTCTTTTGCATCTTTTATCTTTCTACCTTTCTGGTAAGTCCCTGGTCCCAATACCTGGGGTATTGTTGACCTCACCAGTTTCAGCAGAGTGCCATTATAATTTGTGTAGAATGGCACTCCTGAATGGCACAACTGGCAAAGATGGTGATAGACTATGAATATATCCAGCTAATTCTTCTTTCCCAGGAGAGGCAACATTTTGATAGGAAAATATCTATGATTACCATTACAGTAGAGTCTCTCTTATCCAAACTTTTCTCATCCAGCGTTCTGTATTATCCAATGCAGCCTGCCTTCCACCTGGATCTACAGCTGTTTCAATACATTGTGATGTTTTGGTGCTAAATTCATAAATATGGTAATTACTACATAACATTACCATATATGGAACTGTTTTTTCTGTCGATTTGTTGTAAAACATGATGTTTTGGTGCTTAATTTGTAAAATCATAATGTAATTTGATGTTTAATAGGCTTTTCCTTAATCCCTCCTTATTATCCAATATTTTCGCTTAACCAACATTCAGCCAGCCTGTTTATGTTGGATAAGGGAGACTCTATTGTATCTTGCCACAACATTTAGGAGGAAAACGGTAGTAGCAAATCCTGACAGAAGATAAAGGAACCATAAACCTTGCCATCTGTCCTCTAGTCTGTTAGTAACTGCCAATATTTGTGCCAAATGTTGGTCGTTTTTTTACACAAGCCGCTCATTTATGGGCTATATAAAGTTGTTCGATGTTTGAACAATTATGGGAAGAGTCATCCAAGGTGACTTTTCCAAGAATCATTGGCAGGGACTGCAATAAATCTAGTACTCGATGGGAAGAGCAAACTACAGGAGAGCCAAAAGCTGTGATAGCCACATGCATGTAGGTGAATTGATGCTCTAAATCAGCCTTCCTGAACCTAATACCCACCAGATACATTTGGCTACAATGCCAGCATGTCTGTAATATGGATTGGTTATACTGATTGAGGATGGAGTTGCAATTCAAAATATGAATCATGTTTTGTCTGTTGTATAGCCTGAGCCCTGGTGGGTTTTGCAGCAATACATAAATGCCAGAAATACAACCTGGTGGGCACCACAAGATGTTGATGGGCCT